AATAATCTCGACTCCTGATGATAAAGTTTACCAGTGAATCAACACACTCGAATGTTGTGTTCGTGGTAGCGTGATTGAGAACGTCCAACATGAATTTCTGCTGTTTGATTGCAACGGAATGATAAAATTGACGTTGCCGAAAATTTAACCAGTGAAGGACATTTTTGAGGAAATATCTGAAATACAGATTCATTATTCAAAGACGACTTCTGCCATGAGCTTTATAGCCCAAACCACTGAAGCATATCCCGGTTTCCATAGAATAAAGTGAGTAAAATTATTGCTACTCCTTTAAGACAGGCAGCTTATCCATCCTAAGATACTCCCTTCATCATCCCACCTCGGATAATTTTCGCGTTTCCTTGTCAATTTGTACTCCTCTGTGAAGAGAGACGCTGCGAGAGTGATTTTTTTCCACCGAGAAGGCAATCACTCGAACATATTTTGGCTCAAGATCAAATATTACTGATAATCAAATACTGCTGGCTGATCAAAATTAGACGTTCACAAACTGTGTACCTGCCAGTATGGATAATCATTCCCCCTTTGAAGAGATTTAGAAATACTGGAGTTTCCTTTCCTTGCACCACTCTTACCTGTAAAGATAACATCGAGGTAAAACTAACCAATCAAAAGAAATTAAAAAAAAAGACAAAACAGCCAAAAGAAGATACTGACTGACAGACGAAAAGACGAGAGAACTAGGCAAGCAAGAAGGCAAACAGAGACAGGACGGCACACACAAACTACTTCAGGATAAGGCTTTCAATTCACATTTCATAACGTTACCTGCGGTCCTTTTTCTTCATCAAGTTCTACAGCCATGATGGCAGCTGCACCCTTCTCATTCACAGAACAGTCATTTCCTTGCCAGAAAAAGTAAGCGCAGCGGACGCGCCCAGCAACGGTTGAACGACAACGGGACTTCCGATCTTTGACTATTCTGTCGGCGAGCACAAAGTAGGCCCACCTGATCACGTAGCCTTCCCCTGCAACATCAAAATATTACATTAAAGTAACGTCTTAAAGACATTGAATGGAGGTCTGCTCTCAGCTAATCCCCCCAAGGGCATTACGTCGAGTTTTCCTAACATTTCACAAGCAACCCATTTAATCTTTTCCATCCTTAAATTAGCATCCATTTTCTCCCCACTGTTCTCTTTACTTCTTCTGTGGTACCCACTAGAAGAATTTGTTTGACAATCAGGAGCTTCTTAAAGTTGTGATCATTTCTGTTATTCTCATGAACTTTACATTTGATTTAAAAGTGATAATCTAAGGAGAAATTACAAGCCAGACACTCGGAAGGTTTAAATTCCTGCGTGGAGAAAGGCACTCAGTTATTGACGTGTTTTGCCTCAGACAATAGTACAGAGACTCGGCAATGGTTCGTACTCAGTCCTCCCTGCCCCGTACGCCAACCACTTACTAAACAACAATCATACAATAATAAATAACA